GCCACGGCACTCACTCTAGCCCGGGCAACACAGTGAGACTCTGTCTCAAAAAAATAAATAAATAAATAAAACTCTAAAAAGACCCAGAAAAATTCCTTCTTCATCGGAAATAGTCACTTTGAAGTATGTGCTATCTTTGAATAAAATGATAGTATGATACTGCTTTCGTGTTATTACAGGAGGACATTGGGATTGCACATAGAACTGAGGGAGAAGAAGCAGAAACATGAAGATACCTGGAAGGTAGATAACAATTTAAAGACCTCAAGGCAGGAAACAGATTAGAAGCTTGGCACACATCTGCAATAAATAAAGGTAGGTTAGATTACTGTATCTTCAGTAACCCCACTTGTTAAACCAAGAGCAGCAGTTCAGGAATTAAACAGTCATTAAAAAGCAAGAAAACTAGAAGAGATTTTTTAAGCAAAAAGCTTAGTGTTTGGTGAGCACTGAGAAAAGCATGAGGACATTGTGTCATTGCATGCTTCATACTACCCAGCAAAAGCTAGATTCCAACCATAGACTATATAAGTTATTATTGTAAATACATCTTAAAGTGTGTGTTTTTTGTCATGGTTAATTTTTAAAGCCAAATTCTTGTGTGAGTCATAAATACAGTTTGACAGTTAAGCAGAGGAGAGACATTAGACTGAACATATACTTCCTTGGAAACATATCTAGGCCTAAATCTCAAATACAAGAGAGGACTTTGAGAGATTTTCTGATTTTATGTAGCAAAGCACTAACTACTAAGACTGACCATCTGATGCCTTCCCCAGCCAGGCTTCAAGCAAATCCACTGAAAGTGCTCTAACTCCACAAATTAGACCAACTTAAACTTGATCCAAAGAGCTTTACGTGCAAAAAACAGCTGTAAGGTAGTCTCTCCAAGGAAGTTCATGCATGAATTCTAAGAAGAGCCTTATACTGAGTCACTAAGATCCAGTGCAGAAAGCCAACTGTTCAGTACATTTTGACCAAAGAACAATTTGACTTATAATTTCAGAGGTTTTAGAGCATTAGTAGTGTCATGCTGTCAGATGAATAACTGTGTATGGTAAATGCAAATTCACCACGACTTGGTAAATTTTTTTCTAATTAACTGACAGAGTCCCTAAGGGTGTTCCTTTCATAGTTAATTTTCAAATATCTAAAACTCATTTCTCTGATTATAGTTGCTTTTATTAAATATCCACATAATAAAGGTGAACTTATACAAATATTCTGTATTTCCATGGCACCTTTCACCAAGCTCTAAACTTCAATAAAAAGGCATTCTTGATTTCTAGATGAGAACACAGAAATGTGAACAAGAACCAGACATCAATATTACCCCTTTTGGGGGGAGGGGGAGCACGGGTAACATACGTAACCTAAACATCTGTACCCCCATAATATGCTGAAATAAAAAAATATATAAATAAACAATAACTAAAACAAACTAAGTCACTCGAAAACTTTATTCTCATTGATCTTGTTATTGCTTTTTTGGGGAAACATTTGGCTCTGTCATAGTACTGATACCAAAATTTTACTATCTTACTTGCTAGTCTAATGTCTGTTTTATATATTTAGGAAAAACTGTAAAGAATTTGACCATTTTTTAATCTGCATATTGATCCAACATATATTTAGTTCACATCTATTTTTGCCAAATGTCTTTACTTGTTGTTCAAGAAGCAAATAGAGTTTCTCGTTTCAAATGACTCAAAGTTAGCAGAGTTGACATTGAAAAATGGCAATTACTATAGAGCATATAAACAAAGTTTCTTTGGGCAAGTTAAAGATTTCCCAAAGCCCAGAATATGATTATGGTTATCTTGAAGGCTTTCTGGAGGACTAACATTTTAATTAAAGGATAAGTAACAATAGAAGTTAACCGAAATGAGAGAGATGAGGAAAGACATATCAAGCCATAGGATAGACACTTAATATTAAGCAGAGATGAGACATAATATTAATATCAGCAATCAGAGATTTAGAAGTTACTGTATAGAGCTGGAATGTAAAAGGCACATATTTCTTGTCATTTAACCAGAAATTATGCCAACAAAGCCTTGTGAGGTGTTCTAGGAAATTTTAGCTGTGCATTAAAAGCATAGATACCTACTAAAGTTCCTGGAACTGATATTTGCCATTTAGAATAAGAAGAATGTTAATGGAGAAATAATTGAAGGGAATACTATTATAAAAATGACATTTAGGAGAATATGTCATTATTTAGGTGCAGGATGATGATGAGTTGAGTTAGTTACCAGATAGATACAGAGAATTGGATAATTTGGAGAGAAATAAAAGACATAGAATCTATATATCCTAAGAATAGGTTGTAGATTCTAGTTTCTATCACAAGGTAAGTAATGAATATAGCTATTCACTGAGATACGAAAAAAAGAAAAAAAGATTTAGGGACCAAGATGAGTAGATCACCTTTATCCTCTGTGCTATTCTCGAAGTCACAACTAAGGACCCTTAATTCACATTCTCTCTTCTCCTTTTTCGGCCTTCTTTTTCTATACCTCTTTCTATTTGCATGTTATCTTTCTTGGTTGATAATTTAAATTTAATATCATGCCTGCTTTTTATTGTTTTATCTTTGTAACACCTTTTGATAATTATACAGTGGATATAATAAAACAATACTCATTTGATGCCATTGCTGGAAAAAGAATAATAAAGTGAATGATCCTGCACATAAAGCTTTCACCTCCAGGCATAATTCTGTCCTGTTAAAAAGCAAGACAAGAAAAGAATATTTACTACTTATCTAGTAGTAGAAACAAAACCAGGAAAAGAAGGTAGTCTTCACATCCAAAGAAAGTCAGCTACTTTTTAGTTACGTCTCAGAGGCTTTAATAATAATAATCATATTGATAATTCTTGATCTGCCATACAAAACAAAAAAAATAGCTATTAGCCAAGAGTGTAGATAAAAGGAAATACCAAAAAATAATTTAAAAAGAGACATGTATGAAATAAATTACAGTATATATAGGAAATATAAGAAATCAAATAGCAATATCATAATTTAAAATACAATTATAACAGTAATTATATTAAATATAAATCTTATAGAAATTCCACTGAAAAGGTAAAGATCATGAGAATAAATAAAAAAATAACGACCAAATATTACACCATACAGAAGAATCTCACTGTAAATGTTGACACAAAAAAGTAAAAGGATGGGAAAGCTATTCTGTGAAAACAGTAAGCATAACACTAGAGTGGTAAGATCATAAAAAGGAAGTTTAGGGCAATTAAAGACATCCAGTCAAGATAGATACAAAACTGTAATGAGAAGTACAGTTTCTGTACCTCTCTACCACATTCATCCTATTCTCTACTCTACCTTAGCCACAATTCAAAGGTAACTTTTACAATGCAGGATGATTCATTGAGGTAAACTGCATTTAATGGCTGAGATTAATGTGTGTGTTGGTCCACTAGGGAGTAGGAAAGAGTACAAAATTTAGATGTATATGAATTATCTTCTATAATATTAGAAGAATGCTAATTTATATACATGAACTGTAATATACTATCTATATTGGTGCTCGTCAACTTTTTACCAAAGACAGAATGTAAATCTTCCCATGCCAATATGTATTGTTTAATGAAATAATTTTAAAAGACTAGATGGATTTCATTATAAATTTACCTAAT